GTTCATGCTCTTTTTAAACTCATTTATTATGTATATGTAGGGGTTTAGAGACCATCCTCCACGTCATATTGTTGCCCACGTCACAGTGAAAGCTGTAGCTCAGGCAGAGGCAATTTTAGTTCTAATTGTTAATAATATGCATTGGACTCTACTTATTGGGAACCAGAAGGACCGCAAGTAGAGATTCTAAGACTCATTGCCTAATAAAATACATTTGGGAGTCACACGTGACGTGGTAAAATTCTAGGCCTCATCTAACTAACAACCATCACATTCATATTTATTATTTCACTGTTTTAAACAACCATTTGGATTACCAGATAAGACATCTTCATAAGGACGTCGGGAATGTTTTTCACAGTGACCCGCGTAAATGGGATGTTAGCACGACTAAAGGAATTCCCACACAAACTAATAGTGTCGACTGCGGTATATTTGTTTGTAAATATATTGAGATAATTGTATAGAAAGGCAAGATTAACTGGAAAGATTTTCAAGACTGGCAGGCTGAGATGTCTCGGTTTAGGGCAGAGATAGTATATGAAATCTGCAGATACAAATTATTTGGAGAATAAATGTATTACTGTTTGATATATTGTTATTTTGTGCAGGTTTAGCTTACAGGACTAAGTTGTTTGATATATTGTTATTTTGTATACATCAATTTAGAGAACAAATGTATTATTTGTTTGATGTATTGTTATTTTGTTATGTTATTCATAGGTTATTGTTGATGTATTGTTATCTTGTTAGGTTATTATCAGTGTATTCTCAGGTTATTCCTGAGGTACTGTTTGATATATTGTTATTTTGTATACATCAATTTGGAGAATAAATGTATTATCTGTTTGATGTATTGTTATTTTGTTAGGTTATTCCTAGGTTATTATTGATGTATTGTTATCTTGTTAGGTTATTATCGGTGTATTCTCAGGTTATTCTCGGGGTATTGTTAGGTTATTGTTGGGTTATTTTGAGGTTATTCTCGGGGTATTATCAGGTTATTCTCGGGGTATTCTTTGGTTATTCTCCGGGTATGTCAGGTTATTCTTGGGGTATTCTCAAGTTATTCTCGGGGTATTATTAGGTTATTCTTCGGGTATTGTCAGGTTATTCTCGCGGTTTTATTGTCAGGTTATTCTTTCGGGTATTGTCAGGTTATTCTCGCGGTTTTCTCAGGTTACTCTTCGGGTATTCTCAGGTTATTATCGGGGTATTCTCAGGTTATTCTCTTTAGATTATTCTCAGGGTATTGTCAGGTTATTCTCGGGATATTAATAGGTTATTCTCGGGGTATTCTCAGGTTATTCTCGGGGTATTATGAGGTTATTCTCCAGGTATTGTCAGGTTATTCTCGGGGTATTCTCTGGTTACTCTCCGGGTATTCTCAGGTTATTATCGGGGAATTCTCAGGTTATTCTCAGAGTATGGTTATTCTCAGAGTATTGTCAGGTTATTCTCGGGGTATTAACAGGTTATTCTTGGGGTATTCTCAGGTTATTCTCGGGGTATTATTAAGTTATTTTTCGGGTATTCTCAGGTTATTCTCGGGGTATTCTCAGGTTATTCTCGGAGGTATTCTCAGGTTATTCTCGGGGTATTCTTAGGTTATTCTCGGAGGTATTCTCAGGTTATTCAGGCTATTCTCGGGGTATTTTTAGGTTATTCTCGGGGGTATTCTCAGGTTATTCTGGTGTATTCTCAGGTTATTCTTGGGGTTATAATTAGGTTATTCTCCGAGTATTGTCAGGTTATTCTTGGGGTTTTCCCCGGTTATTGTTGGGGTATTCTCAGGTTATTCTTGGGGTATTCTCAGGTTTTTCTCGGGGTATTCTTAGGTTATTCTCGGTGTATTCTCAGGTTATTCCCGGGGTATTGTAAGGTTATTGTTGGGGTATTTTTAGGTTACTCTCGGGGTACTGTAAGGTTATTGTCGGGGTATTGTTAGATTATTCTTGGGTATTCTAAGGTTATTATCGGGGTATTCTAAGGTTATTCTTGGGTATTGTAAGGTTACTCTTGGGTTATTCCACAAGCAGATAACAAAATTTTGTACTCAACAGATAGATAAATTACAAACCATATATCTACAACTTCCAATTGGAATAATGTTATATGAACTTGTACATTGATACAGATGAGTTAATGTGGGCATAACACGTTATAACATGTGAATTATATTGAGCACAGTCACAATCGTATTTACGTCGTAATTCCTGTGCAATTCTTGTGTCATATATGCTTCTTGATTTTTTCCTGCGAACAGTGGTAAAATAATAAAACAATTAATTTTACATATAATCGTTAGTATATGAAATGTAGAATGGTAAATATATGTAATGTAGAGATATATACCGATATAGTAATGTAGAGATATATACCTTTAGCTCCCTTGTTTTTTTCCCATTGTCCTTTCAACCTTGCATTAGAAATACATTTTGGTCTCATTTTTGCAAGATCATTCACATTGCAGTCACTGTTATGGGATTTCCTCTTTTTGTTTGGCCTATTTGGTTTAGGATCCTTCCCATCTAATATATCCTCAATACCTTCGGACCCTGTTTTCAATAATTCAATTATATATGTCTCGGCACGTTCATTTCCGTTAGCTTTATTAATTAATTGGTAGGCAAACTTTTGAGCATGTGACCAAAATAGGATTCCTCTGGATGTTGTGCCAGAGATTTGAGCCCGAGAGTTTTTCATATGTTTGCATCCAAAACTATTATAGATATCTTTCTTTGCCTTAGCAGACCATCTGAATAACAAATATTTCTCGGGAATTTTTGTTATATTATTAGCATTAAGGACGCGTAGACAGTGAGAGCAAATAGACAGTGAGAGCAAAGCAAACATGTCATTTCGAATTTCTTGCAACTGCAGGTGATGTCGCAATTAAGCCTATCAAATGTAACAAGCCAGGCTCTACTTGTGTCCTGATTATCCAAACCTCTAACATAGAATT